GCTGAAAGTACAGTTGTCTCTATTCAGTTAACATTCTGGTGCCTTCACCTTTTCTTCAATTGAATGTAATAGCTTCTGTTTAGGTCCACCCTAAAGGGTGTCCCCAGTGATTTACTGTGGGATTCCTTTTAGTGATAGCTCAGCACTGAAGTACTGTATATATCCTTGAGGTCATCCCAGTCTCAGCTTCACTTTGAGGTTTGTATTAATCGGATTGTGAAATTGTTTTACTATAGAATCTACAGAATCTTTGTAGTCTGAAACCTATGCTGTCTCGCCAGGTTGCTAGGACTTATGCATGCTTTTATCACATCCTTTGGTTGTATTGTGCTTTATTATTTGAGTCTACTTTCATAAAGTGCTCAGACTTTTATAGTACTGTACACCAGTGAAACACTTGTAGGTTCTCCAAATCTATCTCTGTGCTTTGAGAACCACAAGATGAGATTCTGATACAAAAGAATAGGCTACATAGACTACTAAAGACACTGTTTGGAATGATTGTCAGTAGGGCTTTTACTGGAAATATTTGCAAAGTGTCTGTAGACCTTGTTTTTTTCCAGACCCCAAAAAGTAAAGATTGTAAAAATATAGAAAATTAGATTCTGCTTGTGGTTTTTCCCCCCCCTCCCAACTCATCTTTTGAAATCCCTTGTGGGGGGAGGGGAAGGAGGGAAGAGAAAACCACAAAGTGCTGGCCATATTAATTCTGGAGCCTACATTTGCATATTTTGGCTTCTGAATACAAAGTAATATAGCCTTATCATTAAAATTCTAGCTGTACCTGTAAACATACATAATGTTAATCCCAGTTACTTCAAACTTTGAAGGGAAAAGTCTTCCATAGTAGCACTAATTTTTGCATATTTTTCTTTAAACTATTTGACTTTTTAATCTCCAATATTTTTTGTTTTGCTGGCCACATCTGGTAACACTGAAATAGAATAAGGATTAAAGACAAATGTTAAAGTTAAAATTGTGAACTTTCTCACAATTCCAAATCAAAACCATAATTTACAAAGGGCCAATAAATTACCTTCCATGGATCATTCTGCCTCAAAGATTGAAATATTGGTAAGTTAAAGGTGCTTTCTGTAGTGAAAAGCTTAAATTTAACACTTAGAATCTCTTCTAATAAAGTAGGCAAAATACTTTCAATTGAACCCTTTCTTAAATCTTAAAAGATGGAGTTCCTAGATTTATTTTCCAGCATCTGATACATAGTAACATTACCCTGACTTCTTATGAGAAAGTGTTCTACAAATGTGCACATAGATTTGAACTTGTTCTTTAAAGATGTTGGTATGATTGCTCTGTTTGATCTACAAATTCTTGTAAAATTTTTGATCTGTAATAAAACTAGCAAATATTGAGCTTTTGTTTTTTATAGACCAATTTAGTTACATAACTATAATATGTAATTTCTTGCTGACTTTGTTCATTTTAGTTCAGATGGGTAAGTAGGGTAGTTGTGTATGAAAGATAGATCTCTTGCAGAGCAACTATTTTGTGGCTTCACCTGGAAGACCCCTGCAAAGAGCTGAACACCCAACAAACCCCACTAACTCTAATCAAGACAATTGGATTAAAAAAAAACCCCATCAGACCCCCAAATATTTTTGCACAACATACCAAGAATGTATTTGAACTAATGTGTAAAAATATGAATGAAAATATACTTTAACCAATTTCTCTGTTGCTAAATCGGGGGAAACCTCCTCCACTGAATGAGAAAATCCAGCCTGATTGTAGATGGTCAGAATTAGTATCCATAGAATGTAACAACCTAGTTCTTTCATGCTCAGCTTTACAGCTGCTTCCTTGACTGGAGCCCCATTCTGTCGGGTTTATTTTTTCCCTTCACTTCAGAAGAAGCAGTGCATCTTGGCTATGTGATTAATGCCTTGGACAATCTCCGTGTAGGATTTATACTTAAAATATCTGTGCAATGGAGAGCTATTCTAAGATATTAAATGTATTCAAGAAATTCTCCTTTCAGGGTATACAGTCAGTTATCTGGACTGTCGTCGTGCTCTTCAGTAGAGTGAAAATCTCTTTAGTCTGGTGACTTAGTCTTAGATATTCTGATCTGAGTAGGGCACATCTGTGCCATTTGGGGATCATGGTCATTCTGTGAATAGCCAGCATTAATTTAACTATTTATTTAACATTTAGAAATAAGTTATACAGTATGGTTCTGTTAAATTTTCAAGCATAGACTTTCACCTAGTTCTGTCTTGGTCTCCACTCTCTCTCTAAATGAAAGTTTGATCCTATAAATAAGTGATAGGGGGAAATAGGTTGAAAAGCAATCTTCTAACATTTTGGCTCTCCACTAGTTAGTCCATGTTTGCCTTCTGAATTGAACTAGCATTACTTACAACTTGTTGTGTCTAGAGGACAGTAGCATATGATGCAGCATAATCTCAAAATCTAACACAATAGGATCCATTAGGAAGAATCTTTAAAAGTTTTATAAACTGTACTTATTAAGATGAGCAAGCTATTTTACTTGCACCTGTTCTGTGTCGCTCTTACTGAGATATTGATAGTTTCCAAAAAACTACAAAATTTGAAACTTTGTGTCGCTTGTGATTTAGCATATTTTTCCTGTTTGTGCTATTATACGAAAATTTCTAATTCAAGGGGCAATGGGGATCTGCCAAATATGGGGCTTTTGCCATATTCTTATTAGTTATCTTGCAGAAAGGGGGATGAAAACCTCTAGAAGGAGACCAGTTGGGGAGGAGGATTGGGCTATTAACTTCAAGGGAAAAGATTGATAATGCTTGCAACTTGTTAGTAGTTAGTGTGTCAGAAGTTCCGTAGTTCATACTGTGGATATGTTAGGTCCTCTCCGACCATCTCTTTTTTTTGACCTCTCATACACAATACTGCACCTTCCTTTGTGACGACAGCGGTTGGTTAAATGAAAAAGTACTTTTGGGACATTAAGGAGAAAATAAGCTTAAATAGTGGTGGTTCTTTTGACCCTGCACTTCAGTTTTAAGAAGCCTATCTTTTTTGTATTTCTTAATTTTGACATTTTATTTCCCTTTTTGCAGGCTGAATACCTCAACCCCAACTTTTTCCTTCTATGTCAGGGGAATCTAGGATAGCAGTTAGATAAGTAAATAGCAAAATCTACAGTTGATAGTTTTATTTGGCAATTTAGGCAGTACATCTCTGCCTGTTTACTGCATCTCTGTCCATTTTCTCCTTCTTGCTAACATCACTAGTCATTCCTCCCACCTGCTCACCTCTTGTTAGGGAAGGAAGAGCAGTCACCAGGCCTCTTCGAAGGAAGTTTCTTACCACCTGTCTGCCCTCCTCCCCCACGATCCAGGCGATCTAGATATGCCTTTGTCTGTTTCCTCTCCTCCTGAGGGAGAGGTGCCTGGTAGAAATACTTCCTGAAGCAGGGGAACAGAAGGTGGGTAGCAGTGGTGGGTTCTTCTAAAGGAGGCCAGTTAGTGGTGCCTTCTCTTCTCCCCTTCTGTTCCCTGCTAGGACACAGTGATGTTTGCATTAAGAGGGGAACGTACAACTTGGCAGAGTGAGCCCTAAGTTCATTCAGATACTTGCTGAAGACAAAACTGTGCTACCCTGCTGTATGGTGGGGAGGAATGCTTCTTGTTCAAACCTAGCATGTCGCCTCCTAGCTGTGGATATGTTATGAGATTTGGTTGAGTTCCCTGGAAGTAATAGGGATCTGCGTTTAGGAGAGATTTTGCCATTCTCCTGAGCTCTGAATGCTGCTGTTTGTGGATCTCACCATGACTTGAGGAATGGGTTAAGTTTTTTTTCCTGTAAAGGGAAAGAGATTGAATTATTCAGTCTAATGAGATGAAACCATTCACTGGTCTTTTAACATGTTTTGCCTTCCCTCCTAGCCAGAGTATGGCAGTATAACAATTTTGAAGAAAACATTTTTAAGCTTTACCTTTGAGGATAATAGTGACTCAGATTACCATACTGCTATTACAAATGATTGTTCTGGGTGCAGAGTTCATTTTGACTACAGCATATTCCTGCAAGCACTTAAGTTAAATAAAAGATTGCAGGAATTTTGAAATTCCTGCATTCTTTGCTCTACTGGATATTTATTGGATTGGTTCTGGCTTGTCATCTTATTAAAATTATATATAAATGTGTATCTTAAAGGGATAAATATAATGGATTTACCTCTTCACTGGTAGAATTGAGTGGCATGGGTTGCTTACTTCCTTCTCAACCTCTTACTAATGATTTTATTCCACCCCACCTTCACCCTCCCCTCCGGTGTTTGGAGTAACTTTTTATTACTGTGTATAAAGGATAACTAATCTAATCCTATAACTTGATCAAATTTGTTTTAATCCAAAAGCCCTGCACCATTTTGCATCAAGCCCTTCTACCAAGCTTGGACAATTCTTGTTTCGTTGAGTCCTGGTACTGCCTTCATTTGAATGGCAACCACAAAACTGGAACAGTTAACACTTTAGAGACATCAGACATTTAAGACTGTAATTTTTCTCTTGGGGGAGTAGGTGAAGGGGGGAATGGATGCTAACGAAGCTTGCAGAAAGGTTACACTGAAATTAAACTGTCAATTTCAATTATCACAAAACCACCATAATTTAAACTCAGTTGGCAATCTTATTTGAGGACAAATACTAGTATGTTGTGGAATACCTATTGTCATAGATAAAGTAGTGTATGGAGTCTCTCAGAGCAGCTTCCTGCATTGTCTTTCTTTTAACCAGTGTTACTCCTCCCCCTTCCAATAATTAATCCCCAAAGAAACAAATTTAAGTTTTGAATAAACATGTATAAAATACTCGAAGCAGAATTTTTACTACTGGTAAGTTGAAATAAATGTAAAACTGTTTGTCATTTTCATTACAAAATGGTAAATATAGTATAAAATGAGTGTGATCAGTGGTTGTAGGTATTTTGACTCTACACTGTGGCCAGGTAGCATGGTTCATTTAAATTTATTGTGCATGTCTTGCTTTCAGCACATCTTCATTACCACCTCTAGACTGGCCTTTACCAACTCATTATGGACAATGTGAACTGAAAATAGACGTACAGCCTAAAACTCACCATAGAGCTCATTATGAAACAGAAGGCAGTAGGGGAGCAGTAAAAGCATCTACTGGAGCACACCCGGTAGTGAAGGTATGAAGTTTTTTAACTTTTACACAAAAGTTGTTACAGAAAATTGATGATACTTACAGTGCAGTACTGTAAACTGTTACTGTTTTTTTGTGGCACTTCTTATGCTCCTGAATAGATGGGACATCTCTGTAGCATACCGTTTGCTCCAATATAATCTCTTAAATACATTTTTATACTTGTAAAAATTATGCTACAATTACAGAGCATATAATGAATTCCGTTGTATATTATAGATTTATCATTGGCTTCATGACAGTATGCATAATTTCTTCCACTTGATCGGAAAGGAAATTTGGGGGAGGGAGGGAGGGAATTAGGATTACAGCATGATAAATTACATATACTCAGTCATATTAAGATCTAATTTCTGTAACACTTAAGAATGCTATAACTTCATTTGATTAATGGATTATATTTCCTCAATATCAGGGATACATTTCTGAACATTCCCTCTGGGACACGTGGCATTGGCCACTGTCGGAAGACAGGATATTGGGCTAGATGGACCAAAGGTCCGACCCTGTATGGCCGTTCTTATGTAACATGAAGACTGGTGTATGACAAGGATTATAATTTCTTTGGTTTTGTTTTATCACACTGTTTATGTAAAACACTGAGGTAATTCAAGTAGATGCTTGCTAATTTTCATTGTTGTAAACTACAGACCAAAATTTGCAGTAAACAAATTTTTAGCTTTGTTTTTTCTCCTTGTAAACTAGCCAGATTTTGCTGCTGTTTGGGAAGGAGGCTAATACACGCAACTGCTTACTCTTCTCTGGCCCACTGGGAAGCTTCACATCACTGGCTTTCTTAAGTGGGTTGCTAGTAAGGGGGAGGACAAAAGAAGATTTGCTAAAGTCTCTCCCGGCTCAATTCTTGTGGCCTTTGGTGAGGGTGCCAGCCGCTTCTTCACTTTTGTTGCCCTAAAAGCAACTTTGAAGGCCGCCTGACTCAACGTTATTTCCACAGAAAAAAACAGAAATGTAGACATTTTGGTTTCACTGTCTTCTGGCAAGTATCAGAGAGGTAGCCGTGTTAGTCTGAATCTGTGAAAAGCAACAGAGGGTCCTGTGGCACCTTTAAGACTAACAGAAGTATTGGGAGCATAAGCTTTTGTGGGTAAGAACCTCACTTCTTCAGATGCAGAACCTCACTTGCATTTGAAGAAGTGAGGTTCTTACCCATGAAAGCTTATGCTCCCAATACTTCCATTAGTCTTAAAGGTGCCACAGGACCCTCTGTTGTTGTTTTCTGGCATTTCATCATGTGGCAATCCCCTTTTGGCTAGCAGTGAATGACACTAAATGTCCTAACCCCTAAGCTAGCTCTTGCTGGATTCTTCCTTTTGTTACAAATACTACATAAATGTGAAGTGCTTTCCAAATGCTACCTAATCCTGGGAGCCACAAAGAGAGAGGTGGCATCCTTCTACTTTAGGCCAGATCTACACTTACATTTTACCAACATATGTATGGTCAGTTAAGGGTGTGGGTGGTTTTTTGCAACACAGTTTGCTGTCAAAAGCTCTAGTGCTGGTATGGTTTATTTTGCTCGCTGAACTGGAATAAGCTAGAACAGCAAAAGCACTTTAGTACTGCTATAATTGCATCTGTTCTAGGGGAGTTTTGCCAGTATAGCTATACTAGCAAAATTTAAGTGTAGATATGAAGAGGTCACTGACAGCAAATCTGACAGAATGGGGATTGAAGTTTAATTCTTTTGCTCTAACTGCTGGATTATGCTGTCATAATTTGAAATTTAGCTGTGTATCAAACTGCACCACGGTGTAAAAGGGAGTATTTTGGCACTGTGACAATGAAGGGAGTTGACAGATGAGCCTGCACTTGGATCGCTGTCCTGTCCACAGACACATGTACCCTTTTCCTTCACTGGCTCCCAGTCTCAAGGCTCTTTGCCCTAATCTTCTACTTTCCTGCCTCACCTCCAGTCTGGCTTTTGTATCTTCTGTATTTGAATTAAATGTCTTTTTCCTCCTCCATGCTGTCTGAGTTCCCTCAGTGAGGTCATTTAAGAGCACAGGGTATAGGCACCCTGCTCCCAGTTCTAGTGTCCAGGCCAGCCATTACAGGGAAATTCCAGCTGCTTCTTTGAGTACTGTTCCTATGGCTGCTCCACTGTAGGTGTATATGCCTTCCTGTGCCTCAGATTGGAAACTAGGTAGCAGTGTCTATTTGGCCCACATATGTGCTCTCCTTGTCCTTGTTCCCTGTCTCGAGGCTATCTAGCACTGTGCAGGCGAACTGCCCTCATTTCCTTCTCAACCGCCCTTGGTATGAAATGGAGCAATAAGTAGAATCTGACAGTCAATTAGCTTTAAACCTTGTTTAGTTTTTAGAATAGCTACTAGAATTTCCATTATTAGTTTATTACTACTCCCTTCTCCTTTTCCCTTTTTAATATATAAAAAAAATCTTTTTTGTTCTGACTTAAAAAACAGTTGCCTCCTTGTCCTTTTTGATTTTGCTGTCCTCTCCCCTCTTAGGGAATGACCTCAAGAAGGGGCATGCCTGGCTCCCCCAGGTTCAAACACTGTCTCCTGTAGAGAGGATATCTCAGTCAGCGACGGCCATTTGTGCTGAATTCGCTGTTTAGGAGAGGCTCACGTATCACAGAAGTGTATCTTCTGTCAGAAATTAAAGACAAGAGCAAGAAAGAGCCATGACCTGAAGCTTAAGCTCCTCATGATGCAGAGTCCCCTGAGATTGGCCTCCGACCCTGGTCCTGGGACTCCCCCGGAGCAACAATCCCTGACATGACCATCAGCGTCCATGGACATCAAATTATGGTGCAGTCAAAGAGGAAATGTAAGGATTCCTCTCACAAGAGCTTGAAAGAGGGCTACAAGTCCACAGGCTGAACAGTTGACTAGGAAGAAGAGATCCCCAGCAAAGTCAGTGACCTTGATACTGATGGAGCTGTGGCATGGTACCCCATAAGACACTAGGTTTCTCTGGTACCCATACTGCCTAAAGACCCGAGGAGCACAGCTTGCAGCGTCAGTACCGTCTGATTAAAAGGCAATAAAGACTGTACCACCTTTTCTAAAATGGCACTGCAAGAGACAAGGAAAGCCGCAATACCAAGCACTTACAGGGAACTCTCTTCTGGATGGTCATCACACCACAAGAGTCTTCAATTACCAGACTCACTCAACACCAACAAGCTAGGCGAGACAGACTCATCGGTATCAATTACCACCACAGTACTGCAGGAATTTTGTTTTTCTCAGTGTTGGTTTCAGGAACACTGGAATCTCCACTACTCGTCACCGGCATCCCCTTACCGACTGCATTTTGGTCTCTGGAATCCCCTACAGTACTGAAACACTCCCCACCAGCCTCTTTAGCTGCTCCACCTTTATTGAGTGAGATGATAACTTAACTTTGGTCTCAATGTACGGCTCCCCAGAACAAGGCCAAGGGACCTTTCACTTATAGCCACATGCAGAACCTCCAATACCAATAGTACAGTTGCAGGACATCCTAGGGTATCACCACCCATACACTGTGCACCATCCCAGTGGCCATAGTGCGACCCATGGGCAGCTCATAAACACCAGTCCTCTAGGACCTCAAGTACCCATTGGGGTAGAGGAAAACTATCTCCCTCTTCTTCCCTTGAAGAAGCAGAGTTGTCACAACACAAACTGTTGGACATCCTCCACATGTCCTCATTGCGTATTGTACTCCCAATCAACAAGGCCCCACTAGACCCAGCCAAGATCATCTGGCTAACGCTGGTCTCGAAAATGCCTACATGTAAAAGGGCAGACAAAATATTATATGCCCTATAAAGATGTGGACTTTCTCTTTTTCTCACCCATTTCTGAATTTCCTTGTTGCGGGTACTGTAAACGAATGTGGACGACAGCACCATGCTAGATCAACTCCCTATGACAAGGATTAGAAAATATTGGACCTATTTGGCAGGAAATCTTATTAGTCAGCAACTCTGCAGTTTAGGATTACAAATTACCAGGACCTGATGGCGAAATATAGTCACATCAACTATGGAAAACTCAATGCCTTTATTGTTCACCTCCCAAATTATCAAAAAGACCAGTTCCAAGCCATCATCACTGAGGGCCAGTTTCTAGCAAGGACAGCACTACAAACTGCATTAGATGCCATGGATACAGCTGCTCACTCCATATCAGTGGTGGTAGTGATGAGAGCTTCCTGGCTTCACCTTTCTGATTTACCAAGAGAAGTCCAAATCACAGTGGAGGACCTTCCATTCAAGGGATCCAAACTCTTGGCAGAGAAGATGGATTCTTCACTACACGCACACTGAAAGACTCAAGGGCCACATTATGCTTCTTGGGGATTTACATGCCTGCACAGAAAAGATGATACAGTAAATCGCAAATGTCACAAAGATCATAGTGCAGCTTCCTCCACCCTAGAGACATTATGAACCCCAGCGGAAGAGACATCGGCTTCAAAAACAAAAGACTGCAGTCGCCCAAAACTTGAACTGCACAACCCTCAATATTGAAACATCAGTTTTGAGACATTGGTCGAGGCCCAGAGTTACCACTCCTACCATCTGCATACTTTCAGATGCTTCCTTGCTCTTTTTCAACGAAACTGGGAAAACATAACATCAGACAAGTAGGTACTGGAGATAATCTCCTATGGTTATCTAGTCCATTTTACCTCCCTCCCTCCCCTCCTACCCTTCCTCCTTCCCTGTCACTCTTCAGGGACCTTTCTCACAAAAGCCTGCTATGTCAGAAAATAAATAATCTCCTGAACCTTAGTGCTATAGAACCAGTTCCCAGTCAACACAGAGGGAAGGGTTTCTACTCCTAATACTTCCTGACACCCCCTCACCTCCCCCCCAAAAAGCAACCAGAAGATGATTCATTCTTCATCTAAGAGCATTAAAGAAATGCGAAAAGACACGAAGATTCAAGATGGTTACACTAACTGCAATAATTCCATCTCTAGACTAGGGAGATTAAGCATCTTGTAGGG